GCGCGCACACTTAAGATCAAGTCAAGCTGCCTTCCTGAAAATCATCTCACGAGAAATTCAGTGATCTTCAACAGAAATTGGTCAACTGGGCAGCGCCTGCCAAATTGCTGGGCATGGAAGGATTTGATACTCCCGCCATAGCAGGATTCCTGAGGCGAGCATCGCATACATGCCTCCCGGCGAACAGGAATGTAGAGGTCAATGTGTCCGATAAGACAGGCAAAGGCTGCTGCGACATGCTGACATGCTGACATGCTGGAGTTAACTCTCCCCTTGGAAAGGCACATCTTGCGGCTAGGGGTCATGTGGGCCATGCCATCCAAATCAGGCATCAATCTGCCGCAAGATCCGCGCGAAAGCCCGCCCGGCATGGTGTCACTGGTGTTTGGGGTCAGGGGCATCCCCTGGTAGCCTGCCAGGTCTTCACAAGCAAACCAGCGCAAACACAAACCTACACGTTGTCAAGCACAAAATCATCTGATGTCACGCAAGCTGCCCACCTACCAAACCATTGCCACCACCAGCCTCGTACACAAGAAAAGGAGTTGCCCAAAGGCCCAAAGCCATAGAAACAAACTCTGGGCCGCGGCGTCAACGCTGCCCCAATACCTAGCTGAGGCTCCGGGACTCAACACTGTGATCTCGCAAAGAAAAGTCGGAAAGGCACCTTCAGATTTCACAAGTTGCTTTCGGATTTCAATTCCGTCTCCGGCTGCCACTATAGCCAAGTTGGTGCCCTCTGAGCCTCTCTCCCTATACACAACACGCCTGCCGAACGTTTAATGTAGTACCCGTTTGCCGTTGCAAGCTGCAATATGGAAATAGATTTGAAATAGATGGATTTACGTGAGCTGGGCGCTGCTCTCAACAAACAAACCCGTGCGCGAACTCGTTTAGACTTGATGCATATGAGGATGAATGGCTTGCTTCCAAAACCGGACCCCAAGAAGACTGACGATCGATACAGCAATCTCTCTCGTGATTTGAAGACGTGAGACCCACACAATTGCTTGTCTCCTGAAAAGACATGGGCAAACTCTGGGTTGAACAATGGACTATCATCAATTTGCAAACCGTCACTTTGCAGTTCCTCAATGCATGAGCGTCGCACCCAGCCCCAGTGGGCTGCATGGCATCAGCGAGGTAGGACAAATCATCCGGTCTCCTTCAGCCCATCTGCTCTTGCAAAGGAATTGAAGCAGGCAGAGGCTAGGCCCAACTGCAATCAACTTTCAGATTTGGGGATCAATGAGGATCCCAATGTTGGCCAACAAATCCTGCCGTGTCTGTGGCATGGTCTCCTTGCTCCTGCGCTGGGCTGCAGATCTGTTGGGTACCTGCAGGGCTGAATATGCAGAAGCGGTCGAAAGCAGATCCGGAATTCCAATCTGCCAGTCAAGAAATCTCGGATTTGTGAAGGCAAATACCTTCGAGTCGGAACGAGTCATTCATTGAATCCCAAGAGCCTAAAACATGGTGCTTGATCAAGGAAAGTCTGAACTTGGACTCATCATCCGCCAACCGTGCATTGGCAGCTCAAAAAGGGATCCTTGCAACAAGCTCCTCATGTCTTTTTAAATATGTACACACTACTTCCTAAAAGTCGTATGCGGCTGCTTGGTTTTGCATTGCAGCTGCATTGCAATGCAACTTTTCAAAGAGCTCCTTGTGAAAACTTCTTGCAAGAGCTTGGGGTTTAGGATGTTGGGCGCTGTGTTTAAAGGTTAAGAGATGTGCTTCAAGCAGAAATGATGGCTATGCACATACTGTGGGCAGTGCCAGTGCACCAGCAGCTAGGTGAATTAAGTAGGCAAACAGCAGTTGCTTGATCCTGTCAGTGGGGAATCCTGAGCACACCCAATTCGCAAAGGTCACACATCAAAGGCTCCATCAGGGCCGCCAAATGCCTCAAGCAGCATCCAGCAAATTGCAATTACATCTCAGCTGTCTTGCCACTTGTCATGCAATGATAACAGCCAGCCCAATCCCGTCAGCCTGTGGCACTGATGCCGCCATGGCAGACGTCCGAGGAAGCCCCATGAAGGCTTCTGAAACCTTGAGGCCGCTGTATCCAACTCGCACGTGTGTGCTTCCAAGAACACTTCCAAGCACTCTGCGAGGCTTGCGAATCTCAGCTTTTTCTACCAAAAACCGATTGTCAAACCAATATGACCAAATCGAGATCATGCCCTTGGTAAGAAGATCATCAAATTGCAAAGCAAGTGTGCCCTTGTCAAGTGTGGCTTGGCCCATGGCATCGGGCCACACCGTCTTCAGAGCCACATGATGCTTCCAATGAGGTAGCCTGAAACAGTGACAAATGATGTCCTAGGACATGGCCATGGTCCCAGTAACTGGTGGGCAATGCTTGTCATTGCCTCGATTTCCCGTGAAGGGCCGCATAGGGGCCCATCCCTAACAACCCGAAGTAAAACAGCGTTTTCACCAAGGCACGCATATTGGCTCCTGCTTATGTTAGGCATGGCCGCGCCTGATCATGAGCTCTGAGCCATTCGGAAAAAAGCCCTGCGGCAGGCGCGTTGACAGCACCGAGTTCAGGAGCTCAGGCTGACTGAAAGCACAAGGGCAGAGCCCAAGACTCACGCAGATGCAAGGGAGAGTGAAGAGCAAGCTGAGACTAACATCCCAAATCCATCCGATCTCAACAAAGAACTGTTACAATCAAAGACTTCCAGCTGTGAAGCAGCCGCTCCTGCGTGAACCACTCTCGCATGGTTACTTGGGCAAACGGTCCAAACTCCTGCGCAGCAAGCCAAACGCAAGCTGGCCAAACCAAAGTCAATGTCAAAGATCACGTGCAATCTTCCCGAGCATGCTTGACGGTTTAAAAGCACTCACACTCACACCTGCAATCTCGAATTGAAAGAGTCCTTCTGGACACTGTCTAAGTAGTACCAAGACAGACCTGGCGCAAGCTTGCGATGCCAGTGCTGGCAAGGTACCAGGCGTACCATCGCCATTGTCTTCTTGTCTGTCCATAGCAACTGCCTTCAGCCAGGGTGGGTCTAGGTCAAGAACCAGCAATGCTTGGGCTGAGCTTTGCACAGACCTATCCAGGCAAAGCGATGGGCTGCAGCAGCCTCAGCCACACGAAAGGTCCCTGCTGCCAATAATTTGCGCAGCTCTGAGGGTAGGGCACTTCAAAAGCCGGCCAACAAATCGGCTGTAAAAGGCCCATCCCCCCCAATATGACTAAGCTAAGCTGGTGAACCTTTGGTCGCGAGTCCAAACATGGCAGAACCACTTCTGCCAACCCACCATGTCATCATGTTGCTCGAAACGTCTCATCTCGACGTGCTCGCCGCTTTTCACGCTCTCCAAGCCCGCGCCCGCACTGGGCGCAGAGTCTGGAGCTCGGCTCCGAAGACCTCGTCCTCGTCGTGGAGTACGCGCGGCCGGCCTGTGGCCACCGCGATCACCTGCTTCTGGAGCTCGCCGACCCTAGGATCATCTATGCCTGCATGTCCAAACACACTGTACAACTTCTAGATGTGAGCGAATTGCTACCATAGCTACCAAAAATGCAGTCATGAATGATCCAACACTAATGCGAAGAAACGAGCTGCTCAGTTGCATTCAGCTCTCACTTTGGTCTCTTCGTCATGCTGAACCTGGGCTCACCACCCCTGGAGCAGGCCACGTGTCAGAATTGCTGAGTCCAAAACGCAGAATGATGTGGACGCCCTGATCAGTGTCTACCTTCAAAGACACCATTTCTCAGCGGAAGTGAACTGCCACGCGCTAGACATCTGAGTGGCATGCCAAATCGCTTATCTGACCCACCGATAGAGCAAATGCAACATCATCCTCAAGGGTCACAGCATCTTCAGATACAGGCCCTTCAATCGTGCGCAGCGAATAAATGATTAGCAGCTTAGGTGCGAAATTTTGGCCGTACTTGCCAGGCTTCACCCAACCTACAGCAAGCGCAAAAATTGCCAGGGGGTGAGGGAAGGGCCCCCGGGTGCCCCGCTCAGGTCACCGACCAGCTCTCCAGCTTTCAGGCAGCTTTGGCCTCGCTCGACCAATCACGAGTTGCCTCCCAAAGACCCGAACACTGAGCCCTGTGCACTCTGACATCTCCTTGCACCGCTGGGTGAATATCTTCCTGCAGTTGTTCCCACTGAAGATTCTGAGTTCAACACATCAGGCACGCACATGCCAGGGTCGTTCTGGCATTCTTCTAACACAGCTCGGAGGAGGCGCTCGGCATCTCCTGGGATAGAGTCAAACCGCAGCCTCCGTGATTGCATGGCGCAACTCCTCGACTTCGCTTGACTTGCTTGTTGCGCACCTCAATGTGCAGCCGTTTTTCCTCCCCAAAGTTCGGTTTCTCAAGCCTTGTCGATGGTGCTCTTGCACTCTCTGTGCTTGAGCAAAATGTGCCTCAAGCGCACCTGGCACTGGCAAGTGGCAATCCATCGGATCCATCGGACCCGCCTGGGTCGGTTCTTCCTTCTTGGCCCGCTTGTGGGCGGGTCCATCTTCTATCCTGGAAGTCGCGCTTTGTGAAGACCAAACAAACCAACGGCCCGGAGTTGCCTGTCAAAGAAAACGACGATGGAGCCCAAGCCAAGCTCCCCCACCTGGCACGCAAACCCGCTCAGCCCGCCCGCTGGAAATCGGTAGCCAGGCCCACCTGGCCCAACCACTGCACTGCAGCATCCACAAGCGCTCCAGCAGCCATCCGCGCCCGCGGCGCGCAGCGCCTAAAGTCCATTCTGCAGTTCGTTCACTTCTTGAAGTCTCGAGTTCAATCACAAGGCCGGCTCAGGGAAGGGCTTGGAAACTGTGGAGACTGCGATGCTTTTGCCGATAGCGCCATACAATGCTCGACACCTCGCACTTTGGAGGTCAGAAAATGCTGAGATGTGAACCCAAGGTCAGGACACAAACGCGATACCCAAGTGCTTCTGCTCCAAATGAAGCACCTGAGGTCATGTTTCTTGCAATCTGATGGAAGTGACTATTGCCTTATCATCTACCATATTCGCCGCTGTGCTTCTACCAGCAGTGTGATACACCGAACCGTTCGTTAGCCCTTCTGCACCGCTCCGGTTTGCTCAACGCTCGGCTGATTCCACTTGCTCTGTCATGCGGAGAGAGGAGCCATGCCAAACAGCTCAGGAATTACAATAGAACATGTGATGGGAACTTGGGGAGCTTCAATTTGGTACATTCAGGCATTGAATCTAGGCTTATGATGCAGCACTTGCCAAAGCATGAGTCGCAGTTCTTAGCCGGATGCACATCTACACCAGAGCAAGCAAAGCAAATAATGTACCCAGTCCACTTGGAGGAGCGAGAGGGAGAGAGAGAGAGAGAGGAGTTAAAATGCTGTCCAGGCCCAGCTCACACAGCATGATCAGAAAAGAATGCCCATCGACAATCAGTGCGAATGTCCAAACCCTGGACGCCAGGCTCTGGAGTATCCAGAGGTGATCCAAATGTTCGCGGTCGCTGATCCTTTACATAAGGCGGACTTCAATAGGCTATCATTATTCAGGTGCACCTGAGCTCGCCAAGGCATTGGCCAATATATTTACAGTATATTGCGAGGTGTCAGGCAGGAGGATCGCCCAGAATGGACAGCAAAGCCACCAGAACCCCATGCAGTGCTCTCAATAGATCTTTGCCAAATTGTGGTATTGCAGAAAGTTGCCGAGAGAAATCATGGTCAATATGTTGTTTTTGTTGGCCGACACTTGCAAACTGCAAAGAACCCACATTGCCGCTGAGTATGGGGGTAGTCTCGGATTCCAGTGGGTGTGCTTGAGTGGACGTATGCGAGCAGGTTATGCCTTGTTTGAGCCTGTGACAGGCCAGGCTCCAAGAGACATTGCAAGCACAACAATCACGCCTTGACATCAGGCGTGCTGAGGAGTCGTGGTGAGCTGTCAGACTTCTTGAAATCCGCATCTCCCAACCTTGGGCTTGAGCAATTGGGGGTTGATCAATATTCCGGGCCCCCATATGACTATGGGGAATTGATGGTTTCCCTGATGGTTATCCCATGTAAAGGACCTTTTGATCAACCCGCAAATGCATGCGCAAACAAGGCACACCTACGCCAATAGGTGCAGGGCGATCGAGTCGATTGAATCGGCGGCTGATGTCCTCATGAGAGGACGGTCCCAAAGCCAAAACGAGTCTCGAATCACTCTGGGTTCGGTCGCGCAGTCCTGACGCAGGTGCAACCCGGGGATCCTCATCTTCGTCATCGTCGTCATCTAAACCAGGAACAACCTGCAAATCTTTGCACGTCAGCGCAGAACTGGCAAAGGCTTGGGGCCAGGACGTGCGGCTTGAGGAACTCTTGCGCCTCTCCACTGCGCATGCAGACCTGGTGCTCGCAGCCGACCGATGGTGTGGGGTATTCAATCCGCCAATTCGCCAATTCGTCAACTGAGGGCTCCCAGCTTGCAACAGTAACACGTGGTATTTCACTTCGCCAACTGACGTTCCACTCGAAGCTTTATGCCATCAGCTTGAAATGCTGTGCTGGCAGCCACTGCAGCCACATCTCCCAGGGATGCGATCACCTCACAGCGTCAGCATCCAAGAGACCAAATCCATGCAACTCTGGCCGTGACTCATAAGACCAAATGTCACTTCAAGCATGCTTCACTGTGGTGTGTTCATGCCAGTTGTGCTTCTCTCGCTTGATCGCTTGAAAGCTAAGGCTTCGGGCGACACGGGGGCCTGTGACCAAGGCAACCGCCGCACAGCAACCATCAGGGAGCCCGGGGTGCCTGGGCGCGCCAAACTGAAAGCATGGAAAGCCGTACCCACTTTGAAGGCAGCACAAAATGACACCAGGGTCCCAAGAGGTTTTGGCAAGTGACGCACTTCCTGGCTATGCTGCAGCTCCTGGTTTCTTGTGCTCTGCACTTTCCCTCTGCGGGCCGCGCTTCTCGATGAATTCAGCATCCAGCTCCTCAAAGCCTCAGGCTCATCAGCGGATTGCGCTTCCCACGCCCGGCTGCCGAATTGCAATCTCGCTCAGCCCACTGTCCGATCGTGTCTTAGACAAGGGGCTTTCTCGCATTGCTACTTGAAGGCGCGTGTCCTCAAAGCATCAAGCACATGCAAGCATCAAGAAAAGTCTTGGGACACTGCAAGCCTTGCCTCCCAGAAGCCACGGAAAGCTGAGAGCTTGGGCAGCAGCTTCTGATGGAGATGCTTCACCTACGCTCAGTAGCCTGCTGCAATGCCAAGGCAAACGTCTGAGCACAGTACGCAGAACTCAGCACAAGCATTGGCCGATCCTTAGAGTGTGCTTGCAAGCTGCCATAGATTGGTCTGAGTTAGAATAGTTGTCCACTTCATTCCACTGGTAAGTGCCAGTCCTGAGCTGGGTGAACCTCTGTGGCCCTCGTACAGTGCGTAAAGAGCACAAGGCCTGCTTCGCCAAATGCGAGCAAAAGCCACAAAAACATCGTGAGTGTCCAGCCTATCCAGGTGTTCTACCGACATGCGCATCGCCTTTCAAGCTGCAGTGTGCATGCTTGCTTGGAAGGTTCTGGAAGTTGGAAGTGCGCCTGGGCAGCCTTTGCCAGGTCCTTTACCAGAACATGGCGCACCTGTGCTGCCTGCAGGAGACGCATGTTTGGGTCCTGCAAGCTGCAAGGAGCCTCTTCAGCGCCTTCTCATGGAAGCACGAGCCCACAGCCATGCGGTGGTCGTAGATGTTGCCATCGTACAGCCTTGTTTTCGGCACGGAGAATCCGGGTTGGAATGGAGAGCTGGGGCAAAGCGCAAGGGGAGATGCAAATGCTTACGTTGTCCACATCAGGCTCTTAAGTCAATTAATCTGAAAATGAAAAGCCGGGACTCTGACAGAGAGTATCTCTGCATGATTGCATCATAGACATATGTCTTGCCGTCTTCGGCATTCCAGTAGACCTTCCGTTGGATGCACTGAGATTTGAAAGGTCTTCCACATGGTGGCATCTTGTTGTCAATTAGGCCTGGCGTTTGTCGTTGTAGTAGAGTGGCTGTCCCTTCTCCACCTTTTCGGCACACGTGTGAATGCTCCCTTGTGATCATCTTGTGTCTGGCATGGCCTGCTTAAAGCCATCAGGGACTTTGATTGGTCCTGCTGAAGCACTGGCCTCGAGGCGGCGCGAAGTCGCCGCTCGCAAGCTATCAAGGCACAACACCCGGCCTGCTGCTCTTGAAGCTGCGCCTTGATCTTCCACATGGGCGTCCCAGAGTAGCCAGCATTTGGCTTATCCTGGCAAACAAGATATCAAGTGAGAAAGGAAAAGACAAGAAAGCAAGAAAACCAGATACTGCAACTGGTCTCTCGCCTCCCAATGTCTTGCAGTTCCGCTCTGGCTTCCCCTTGGAGAACGCAACATGTCACGATGTTGTCACACATGGCGCCTTTGCATTCTACATGCCGCCAGCTCAGATGCTGGCGTAAGGGCAACTTCATTGGCGAGCTTTGGATCCGCACCCAGCGCCTCCGAAGGCTGGGCATACGCTGGGCCGCTGGCCCGCTGGCCCGCCCGCTGGCGGTGACTTCGATTTCGAGTAAGGCGGGGACCGACCGAAGCTCATGCGGCCGCGGTCCGGACCTGTCTGCATCACGCGGCGGCATGCCTCGCAAGAATCGCCCTGGGTCTCGAGCATGACGGGGCAGAAACCGCCAAGGGTTGCCCCCTCTACACCAGTCTTGAACAGCTCCACTGCACCAGCCATGTGAAATTTGCGACACGGAGTCATGACTATGTAGCAACAATCCAAGCTGCGCAAAGGACCGTGCCCTAGCTGTTGTTTCACCCAGGCAGAGGCCAGGCTTTGGGGTGAAACTTCGCAAAGCCACAGGCAGAATGAGCACAACATCTACTCTCGACTGTCTTACCTTGCTTCATGTTTGGCCTTTGAACTGCTTCAATCGGAAGCCACAGGCCTGGACAGCTATACCGTCTCGTGCAGAGCGAATTCCTAAAAAAGCAAAGCTCTGTGGCGTCTTTTCGTTTCCATGCGTTCTCCTAACTACCAAGCAGCCGCACTCTCAAGCAGGCTCACCTGCCATCCATGGCGTGGCTCTCCCTGCAAGCCCTTGCGCTATGCCTGCAGCTTCGCGCTGCTTCAGCAGAGCCGAGGCCTTGTCCATTGGCTCCTGAGCCATCAGTCAATTCCTGTGAGTTGGTCTCAATGGACAACTCATCCAACTATCGACTCATCCCAAATGCAGCAAATGCAGCAAATGCAGCTGAGCACTTCTTGACGTCCTCATTGAGCAATTCTGCTGGGATGGGAAGCTCTTTGGCCTGCTTCCATGCCAGATCTTGTGATGTTCGCGACTGTTCTTGAAGCAAGGTTGGGCTTTGAGTCAGACTCCGAATTGGGTCGGCCTTTGCCTCCTTGATGCTGGCCTGACAAGCTGAGCTGACTCAAGCTTGGCACTCACAGGCCAACTTTCGCCTGCAATTCGGCGAGGCTTTCGCTCAGGGCGCTGGCGGCTGCCGCCTTGCTCCCAGGCGCCCTCCCCCGAGAGTTTTTTAGTTGACTATGTCACATTATGTTGATGAGAAGGAACGGTGAGAATACCTGACTGCAGCTTGGGCACTGCCTCTTCCTCTGCAGCTGCTGCGGCATCTTTGGCCTGTGCAAAGCTGTCGCTGCCTTCTTCAGCAGCCTCAGCCTCACAGTTTGGCACCCGAAGATGTTTACGGAAGATTCAAGATTGCAAACTACTCAGGAACAGCCGCTGGTGCAGATGCTGGTAGGGGGTGGTGTGTGATTTAAGTGCTGGTGCAGGTTGCCTGTTTGGAGCGCTTGCGCAGCTTACAAAGTGCGGGTCTGGTATTGCCACTTCAAATGGTCCAGCTGGTAGATCTCAAAATGCCATGCAATTCAGCAGGTGCCCATGTCCAGGTTGTGTGCTTTTAATAGGATACCCTCTTTTCAAGGAAGAAGCAAAAGGAAACCACTCATTTTGAGATTCCCTTATTTGGGCACATGTCACACACCCACTTCCTTACCCATCGTCGCTTGAGGCCCCGGCTGTGGCTGTCGCAGCTGCTGCAGCCTCAATCTTCGCCTCCGCTGCCGCCAAGGACTCCTTGAAGGTCGCAGAGGCGTCCAGCACCCGCAGCCTTGACATGCACGAGACTCTATGCTATGTGCATATACAGTGCATCATATATGTATTATATATACATACTTGTATGTTCTCCATATATCCCTCTTGTAACACTCCTGTTAATTTGATGCAACTCAGAAAATGCAGTGCAGGGAAGCCAGCCATGTGTGAGGGTTGCGTGATGGCCGGAACTCTGATGTCTGGGAAAGGAATCGAGCTGGGCCAGGTGCTTTCTTGCGGCGTTCTCCATGAGGTCGGCATCATAGTTCTAGCAAGCAAGGCCCTTCTATAAACCAATAACTGGTCCTGTCGCCAAGCGCCACACTTTTGAACCTGCTTCATCTGCTTCTGCTAGGGCGGCCTAGACAGTCGCCTCTTTCTGGGCTCAAGCAACTCGAGCTGCCAGCTGAGCCACTCTCAGCGGCTCAGGATCAGTGCCTAGGAGAATCTCAGTCCGTCAGCCCAACCGAATTCAAGTCCGAGGTCGGCACGCTCAGGATGAAGGGTCGCAACCTTCAGGATGGCGCATTTCTCCATGCCTTGGAAAGCTCACGAAGGGAACAACTGTGCCACCCTCTGGCTCAAGAATCAGATTCAGTAAGAGTCAGGCGAGTGTGAAGGGCACCCCTCAATTCTCGCCTTGTTGGTGCGAAGTTTGCTGCCTCAATGCCAGCTGGCCTGGGCGCAGGTGCCTATCCCTTGCTTCTGTGCATCCTTTCGCCAAGGGCATGTCACAGCGCTTCGTTCCTCACGCCACTGCCTCAACTCCTGTGCAGGCGGATAAGGACTTCACCATGGCTTGGCCTCCCAAATGTCTCAGCTTGCAAACTCTCCTGAATTTGATTTGCATTCCGCTCTTTTGCAGCCTCACGGTGGCACGATCTACTTCCGATGCGTCCCACTGAGTGGCCAGCCTCCAAGTTGTCCTTCGCAGCTTGCCACCTGCCGACTCAGCTAAATGGTCATGCACGGTCTCCGCATATCTCCGCATATCTCCACATGTCTCATGCACGGTCTCCGCATGTCCCTCCGATCTCTGCGCCTCGCAGTGGTGAGCTCGATCTCCAGATCCCGGGCCTGGCGCTCGCCTTCGGTGCCCAAGGCCTTCACCGCCACGGCCGCCTTGCCACGTGGCGCCAAACCGATTTCGCGATTTCGCGACTTCGTCCCCTTCCCTCGGCCTCGGTGTCCTCGGCGCCTACCTCGTCCAGGGTACCTCAGTAACTGGGAGGCGAAAGCTGCAGCGTGGTTCGCACGGATCACATCTTGACATGTAAGCGAATATGCTCAGACCCCAACCGTCAGTATCCTCCGAAGGCTTCCATTCGGGCCTGCGTCTGCCAAATCGAGCATGTGCTGAAGACCTAGCATCTAGCAATGTGCGGGCCTGTCTGGCGCCACTGTGTAAGGGTCCTGCACAGGGAGAAAGCAGGCGGCAAGAGAAACTGCTGATCTTGGCATTAAGCAAGCAACTCCAGAGAACATGAGTCCTCTTGGATAAGCAAAGCTGGGGTGTCTGCATGACCATCCCTTGGACCCGCTATCGTGCTAGCTATTGCACTCTGCGCTTCTGAGGCACGGACAAATACTTTGATATTGTGTTGTTTGGGTGGCTGACCTGCATTTGCTCAAGCTGCCCATAGCTCCCAAATAACTTATCTCATCTTATCTCCCTGCCTCCCTGGTGCGCGCCAACACCGCTTCAAGCATCTTCTGCTCCTTTCGCGTCAACAAAACATCGCGCTTCACCCCGCAAATAACAGAGTCCTCCGTCTCTTCCTCTGCCTGCAATGTGAAGTGTAAAAAGAAATGCAAGATAACGCAAGCAATGCAAGCAGCTACAGGCAATCTCGCAATTGAGGCAGAATCAGGCTCCTCGTCTTTGGGCTCTTTCGATTCCGCCAACCAGGTCTCTCGCCTCAGACTGGCCGGCGCTGAGAAAAGCCACTGGGTCCGGCTGAAACTTTGAGCCCCTGGCGCTGCTGCAGCTTTCTCACTCCGTGGTGGCCCATCCGGCTCCTCTCCCGACATGCCAAGAAGCACGAAATTCACCAGACTCCCAACTCCCCAACTGTCCTGTGAGGCATCTGCCCAGGATCTTCGCACCAACTCCTCCGAAACCGACTGATGGCTACTGAAGTGATACCCTCCAAGGCCTCCAAGTCTTGCTCCATGGCGTCGGAGCCGACCTGCACGCCACGCGTCACAATATAACAGCAATCTCAGGTTGCACCTCCAAGGAACCAGAACCAAAGCTCTCCAGCAGCCAGGTTCCACCTCAGCCGTGCCAAACTGAAATGGTACCACTTCTGGTGCTGTGAGGCTGGCCATCAAGTCCACCTGGACCTCTGAACTCATCCAAATGCACATAGAGGATGTAAGTCCTCGGGCCGCCCGTTGCTGGTAGATGTCAAACCAGGCATGCTCAATCCATCTGCAAGATGCGGGCGATGCTTCAGTGAGGAGCACATGCGAGAAGGAAACAATCTGGCAGAGCTTACTACGCACGCCGATCACATCAATCCTCAACCCTGGCCTCCAGCCCGCAGCTCTCAGCTACTTTCTTGCAGCGTGAGAGCCAGTTCCTGCTCACAGCTCATATTGAAATGGGATTTGCGTTGTGAGCACATCGCCCTCAATCCTGCGGCCGCCATAGTCGCGAGGGTTGATCGGAGCTCCGGGAACCAGCGGCTCCAATGGGGCCCCGTCAGGATTTTGAGGTCTCCTTGTTGGCAAGCAAATCGCTGCAAAGGCAAGTGTTGAGTTTCATCGAGCAAATGGCAGCTTGAGGCCGCCACATTTCATCTGTCGGAGGCATTTGGGCCACCAAGGTTGCGCGGAGAAAGGCCTGTATGTCTCAAACTGCAGTCATGCCATCTTAGCACTTGTCGGAATTTGTTTGCCAATGCTGCACAAACAACGCCTGCGGCAAACCCTCCACTGTCACCCGCAATGCACTCGTCACATCTCCTGCAGCATCCAAAGCATAATTGCGGCTGAAACCCGGATGAGTTGATTCTGGAAATGTTGCAGCCGTGTTGCCAGCTTCAGGCGGCACGGTTATCCGCTCGCAAAGAACTAGCCCCTTGTCCTGGCTTGCAAGGAAGCGCTGAAGCCCAGAGATCTCATGTCAGGAAATCTGCCAGAAGAGTGCTGGAGGGGTAAATCAATCGTCTCCTACGTCTCACAAAACAGTAACCATCATTGGCCAGCCTGCAGCTGACACAAAACATCCTAGTTTGTGCATGTTTATGAGTGTGTGACCCACACCTGCCACAGTCTGTGCAAACCTTGTCAAGCTTTATGTTTCTGTATCAACACCCTCACGGCAGAACAGCACTCTATGTGAGCGATCAGGAGATCGGGCGGCAAATTCCGCCGGGCAAACATTTTCAGCGCACTCACCGTTCCAGCGCATCACCTTGTCCACGGTCAACATGTTGAGCTGAAGAGGCGCCTTCACGGCAAGATGCCGTGTCTTTTTTGATGGCACCCCGTTCTGTGCGCTGGTTTTGAAGGAAAGTGAAAAAGAAACCACACGCTTGACACATTTCAGGGGTTCACTCTTTTAAAGGCAACACTTGTGGCCCCACTGTCTGGGAGTTCCGCTAGTGCTCCCACCTCGTCTTCCATGCCTGTGTCCTCAGTCTCTTTGTCACCTTGGAGCAAGCGGTTTGCTTGAAATATGATATCTGTGTCTGGCCTTCAAGATCTACTTCCAGACCACCGCTGCCAGGAGGTGCGAAGAGCCTACAAGTCAAACGAGCCAAAAACAAGTCTCCAATGCCAAACACAACTCTCCCCGGCATAAGGCAGTAGCTGAAGTGACACCTCACCCCCTGACTTCGGAAGTACCTATCCAATTGACTTGCTCGCTGTCCGAATTGTGGCTCGAGGCATTGCGCTTTGGCGCACCTCCGGCGGCAAATTCGCTTCCAGCATCAGAACGTACCTCCCAGTCCAAGGTGTGGCAGTGGTCATGGTGCAAAACAGGAAGGGCACTTGCCAGCTCTGTCAACAGCCTGCGTCTGAGACAGACACTATGCTATGCCCAAACACAATGTCACATTGCAAAATAGCCTTGTCTTTCAAAGGCAGTGACCTTGGCTGCCACATGCAAAACAAGATTGCTGTCTTGAACACCACAGCATCGCCGACTTTGCCGACTGGGCTTGAGCCATGCGAGTTTTCTGATATGTAGGAAAGTATATGATTCGCTTTCATCCTTTCATGCTGCCAAGAGCTTGGCATGGTCCGCAACAGTGGTGACTTCGTCAGGGTCGACACGCACCTCAGCATTTTGCGCCCAAATCGGTTCCCTTTCGGGGTGCTTTGGGCAACTTCAACCGAGGGTGAGGCCAATTGGCGCAACGCATCTCAGGCTCGTCAAGCTCCTTGCACCATCGAGGCGGTTGGAAGAAAGTCCCAAAACGAAAACACAACAGCAGCGGTCCAGCTGCGACACCTTGAGGCAAGACCTCATACGAAAACAAACAGAAGCGGCGAAATGCGAAGCAGTCAGAAAACCCGCGTGACCTGAGCTGAGAAGCTCACAGCTGAATGAAGGGCCAAAGTGTCACATCTGTGACATGGCACAGCAGCTGCAGAGAGTGCAAGCCGTCCTGCAGGTAGCAAAATCCCAGCTCTCTGCACTAATCAATCCTCTCACTGTGGAGTTGCACCTCGGCTATCTGAATCTCAGCCTTGGCCCAGACCTGCAAAACATTTGCCGCTGCAAAGTGTGATGCTGCTCTCTGCGCTCAACTTGAGTCAGCGACAGTATAACCGGTGTGCACCGGATACTGTATTGGGCCAACCTCGCAAAAGGTTCGGTGTTGATAAACCGAAACTGGCGAACCTCACATCCTGTGCTTGAATCGCTTCACAACCTGCAAAAGCAAGACCCATGCGGAGAGCAAAGAGAGCTTATTCTTGGCCAGCACTTTGGCAGGCTCCAGAAACTCCACTTTCGACCTTGTCAAGCGCCAGCCACGTAAAACAGAAGCATCTGCTTCACAAAGACAGGCACTTCATGGAATTCAGCAGCAAGCCCTCCACCTAAGCAGAGGCAGCGTCAGCCCAACTTTGCCACAATGTGGGGGCATGCTTGGGCCAAAACATGGATTGAAGTGAAAAGCTGATCCTGAATGAAAAGCTGCTGAGCCATCCACATTCACGGAAAGCACGGAGCCAGCTTGTTCTGCTGCATCATCATGGATGAGATACCAATGCTCGCCTGTGCAAAGCGAGCTGAAAACCAGGAAAGCTGATGTGAACCGACTAGCCTGGAGGTAACAGCAAGGAATGGAATACGGAACCACTGGGTGGAGTTCCTTCACCAACCTCGAGGTGGACTTTGGAAAGAAAAGACAGTTCTCTCAGCGCATACATGCTCAATCAATCGTAAGGCGGTGTCTGTGAGATTGATGCACTCCGGCGCTTGCAACTGCATCGAAACGCGCAACAACACTGCAAATTGAACTGCCACAAGATCACTTTGCCTGACGTGAGGTGTGAAAGCTCGGCCGCCAGTCATTGATGGCCTCCAACGAAATGTCGACAAACTGTGACCATAAGCTAAAAGTATCTTGCACGACGGCGGCCTGCAAAACACAGCTGCACGGAGTCAGCGGAGGCGGAGACTGCATACACACCCACGTGCAAATCAAAATTGGATCCTAGCAAGAGGCCCTTTGTGGGAAGCGCCTCGGTGAGCCTGTGATTTTGGCGCAAAGGCTCATAGCTGAAAACAGTCTGCAGCCTGGCGCAAGTGGTCATGGTGACACGCTCGAACAATTTGGCCCTAAAGTGGTTCGCACCAAACTGACTCTTGTCCGACTGGGCAACTGGGCAACCGGGGGGTCATGCTGAGACTTCTGCCATGGTGGTCCAGGTTTTGGCTTGGCATCGCCAGTGTCTCGCGAACTCCTGGCAGTTGCAATGCCGAGAAGGAACATTGCAGCTCTTGGAGCGTTGGCAAAGCATCCAATTGGCAGCCTGGACGTACTTTGATCCAGCTCTTGGAGAACCAAACAAAGCCGCAGCAGCATGGTCTTTGGTGGCAAGTAGGCCTGAAAGCATATCAAATAGAATCTGCGAATGCCTGAAAGCTCTGATGTTCATCTCCACGCCTGTGCGCGCTCTCCAGCCCAGCATGTATCCAGTGTGGCAGAGAGAACGTGTTCGCCAGGAGGAATGTAGCCTTAACTGTGATAGATTCAAAATGCCAACGGCAGCTTTCACGACATCTCGCTAGGTTCTGGGTGACGCGCTGCAGAGAGGGGATGCGGAAGCTTCGAAATCTTCGAAGCTCACCCAGCAACCGCCTTCGAGCCTCAGGTTAAGGAAGCTTCCGCAGGGCCTAAATTATGTTGGTAAGGAAATGCGAGGTCAAAGGCATCTGCGAACCTAAGGTCAGGGCTGAGATTGGAACTCCTGGATGGAGCTCTTCCTGCACAGCCACAAGCTTGGATGCCAAGTGAAGCCACCTGGAGCGCACATCATCAGCGGGGCTGGGTTCTGATCTGGCCATGGTGCCGTCCACGGCCTAAGCAAATGGCACATGCAGAGCACATCTTTGAAATCAGAAATTATTGCTCCGGTCTGTAACGTTTGTGCTCCCTGCATATCATCTGTCACCTGGTCTTCCTCCTGCGTCTCGGCTTCATGGCCTGCCCAGCCCACGTGCCACGCAGAAACTGCCGCGCAAAGCGACTACGGAGCCTTCTCCGTTTTGGGAACCACCCTGCCGGTGATCGAAAAAGTCAGAATCTGTATGTGCACTTCATGTCAATCGCCTGGTCAGTTCGCTTCTCTACGCCTTCGGCATCTCCCGAGTGGGTATTTTGTGACCGCCGGTCGTCGTCCTGCGTGAAATCTTGAGTTGGAAGAGCAGTCACCACATTCTGGATGGCAGTCCTCATCGAGGTCGTCATGATCAGAATCATCAGCCTGCACGGTGCATGGTTTGCACTGCTGGCAAGCAGGCAGGAGAAGATTGAGAGAAGGCCTGGCCTCCTCATCGATTCGAGCTGGCTGATCCTCTGTTGGAATTGCCATTGAGCCAATCGTCAACACACTGCAGCTGAGCCATGCACATTGTTGCCAGCATCGGCAGAGGCATCTTCATCCTGCAGTTGATGAGAATCGCTTGCCAAGTTGCCGCACGTGGTAGACGTACTTGAAAAGTGGCCCTGATGCTCCTCGCTATCTGCATCTCGGACATGTTTTCTCGGAGTGCCTGGGCGAGACTGGCCCCCCATTTTAGGTAGTGCCAGGCGGGGAAAGCTTGGCCTGTACTTTGTTTGCACCTTCAATCTGCAGAAAGGTCGGTGCCATGCTGTGGGACATAGGAGTCAGCTTTAAGGCGCACCTGATGCAAGCAGCAACTGTTGTCGTACAGAATCCAGCCCTGAAGAGAGCCTGCCGGGGATCCTCTTCAACTTCGCACACCAGAAACTCCAGAAGGGCCTGGATTCTGGTGTGTGTCACGGCTCTTGCGAAGCCATTTGAGATATCAACCAAAAACAATTCCCAGAATGCCTCCTGCGGCTGATTTCCGAGCTTCAGGTTCTTCTCCTCCACTGGAGCAGTTGGCACGGCCTGGCCCCAAAAGAGCTCCCCAGCGTAGAATGCGATCATCGCGATCCACGTCTTTTGCTCCCCTTGAAAAACACGAGCCGCCAGAGCTGCCCAAACTGCCGGCCTGCTGTTGTGCCACAGCTGCAGCTGCTATCGACTTGCGAGGGTTGGGCACGGCCTGCAGTAACCGGAGAGGCAAGTAGCAAGCGGCAAGCGGCAAGCGGCGGCCGGGCGAAAAACGCAGCGTCACTGAGCAACGCACCTCCGCCTGCGGAATGGTGGGCATCAATTCCGCTCGCTGCCGCGCTTCGAAGTCCACCTGAACACGAGGACTTCAGTGGTAGACTCGCCAATGCAACAATGCGTGGCTGTGGCCTGAGAGTTGCTCTGCAGGCTGCAGAAAGTCCGGACCGATTTCATGCCCGTGAGAGCATTCCAAGACACTGGCCTGCCATAAAAGCAGCAAACTCACCGACTAGGGCAGAAAATAGATATTACGTATCTCTTCTGCAAAGCCTTCAAGAAAAATGCAACGCTCAAGCAGGTCGGCTGTACACCTGGTAAGGCATCCAGCCAGTGAGGGCAGTGATGCAAGGCCTATCGATTTCGGAGACGCTGCTGCTTCAACGTTGACTCAGCTCGCGGCAGCACGGGGATGTTCAGGTCATCCTGAAACACCTGCATCCTCAAAAATGCCACTCTGCACACGGCTACCCATTACGGGGCTTGGCTAGCACGCGTTCTATTGGGACCCAGGTGCTTCTTGGCGCTCTTGAGCCGAGACTCAAAGCTTTTGCCAGCAGCTGAGGCCAAATGATGTTGACATCCTGGCTGGTGGGCAGCAGCGACGCCTGCAATGGACTTCTGCAAGTCCAATATGTTCCAATTAAAAACTGAGAGAAGCGGCAAATCTTGCCATCACAATGCCCCGCTAAGATCTGGGCATAGGTGTTGTTCCCGTGCATTGCATACCCGACAGGAACGACATCGTCAATCACCACCTCAATACTCCCAACAAGAAGCCATGAAAAAATCAACTCTTGGTCCGGAAGCCTGTCTCCACTTGCCCTGGACAAAAAGCTTCACGATGTACTTGCCGTGAGGATTGAAGAGCCTTTCACACATCAGTATAACAAATACAATGCCATGGCCAAATTGCGGCAGGCTCACGGCATGCCCTCTTCATCCTGTGGATGGATCAGCTCCTGTCCCAGTTTAATCTGAGACTGCAAGATGAAAGTGACAAAGTTGCAGGGTGCGCGGTCCCACAAAAAGTAGCCCTTCGGCAGGAGCAGTCTGTGCTCAGCCACCGCAGCAAATTGAGAGATGATGGATTGGCTCAGCTGCGGCCTTGGATCCAATACATTCGCTTCAGGCCGGTTGGATGCGTTGCGAATTTATCTTGTTCTTAAGTCCCTTTCAAGGGGTAACACGCGAGCACATAGGCCGCACACGCGGCATCGTCGAGATCCAGGACAAGCTCACGCGATCGGAACTCCGACTGGCTCACCACCCTGGCCTGTAAGTGAGGCAAGGCCAGAAGATCAGTGGCTCCCAACTTCTGTGCCTCTCCCTCATAGCTGCAATCGGCATACTGCCTGATCATCGGCCAAGTTCATGTGGCCAAGCCAAGCAGCTGGGTTTCCAGGCTGCATAGTGGTAGGATTTGTTGGCACTTCCTGGCTCACCGAAAAGCACCGCCAGAGACTTGGCCATGCGACTTGCATTGGCCAGCCTCCACAGGCTGGCCTTTGGCCTTGGCCTTTGCTTTTGAATCTGCCTGCGCTGGCAATGTTCAGAACACAATCAGTCTCACTCCGGCGCCTTAGGCTTCGCCTTTGCTTTCGGATCCTCTCAGATTCGCATTCAAAGGCGGTCTGGCACATGCACTTCGCGCATCTTCGCACACCGTGCCCAGTCCGGAGCTGTCTCAGCCGGCTCGTCTTTGAGTTCTGGAAGCGGCTGCACCTGCGGCTCAGGCTCCTGGGCGGCAACCGCTGAATCAGGCCGACCCTTTGCAAAGACAATTCTCCTCCGGAAGAAGGTCACCCTTTACGAGGGCCTAGGCCCAACTCACATCCAACTGCTGTGCACTGCAAAAGGAGCACAGTGTCTCTGAAGACAAGCTTTGCAACCAGTGAACAGAGGAATTTAAAGCTAGTCCTGCAGGCTCAGAGCGGCACAGATGCACCAGCACGTCGCCAACCTGCAACCTTTGCTGAGCTCAAACAAGAACTTCACTCACCGTGCGTTTGGGATGTTGCAGGATGTGCACAAACCGTTCATGCCGAGTTCTTGACTAGTGCCGCGAAACTGCGTGGAAGTCCAAGAACAGAAAATCTGACAAACAAGGCATTTGCAATGTCGAGCTCTGCAGCATGTATTTGACAAACTCGCTCTAAGCTTGCTGCTGGTTGCTCACAAAGGCATTTTCAGTCTGGTTGGGCCTGCAAAGGGAAGCGTGCTGAAGCTCACTGGATGGAAGGCAGCATCTCAGCTACCAACTTCCACTCAGCGGTGTCGACGGCTTCAGCATTCCATTCTGGAAGCGGGAGGACCTGCTCCAAGCCATTGACACGCTGACTCCATGACCATGCCCAAGAATTTGCTCAGCCGCTGGCATATTTGTCTCGCATTTCAGCCCAGGCGGCATCCGCCTGTGTTGGCAAGAAGCTCCGATGGCTTAAGACGCAATGGCAAATGACCTCTGATGCATCAGGAGGTTCTGTCGGTGCTAAAGGTTCACCTCGGAAGCCCAAAAGTTCAGCAATCTGCGAAAGGCGAAACAAGCGAAGCCCTGAGAGCGGATCGTGCTTTGTAGGCAGTGACCAGCTCTGGCTGCGCAGGCTCATCTTTCTTCTTCTTGTCCTTTCAAGATGTTTCATGCCAAATGTGTAGGCACAAGCAAGCTCAAGTAGTGATCCGCCTTCTTGGGAGCCATAGCTGCAGATGCCACGACAAAGTTGTATGAACAGAACAGATGCTGTGGAATCTAGCCATCAGGAGATGTTGTCAGAGTGGAGTATAACATTGCCCTTGTCGGCAAGCAAAGCAGAAGCGATTAGCGTCCATTTGAGAACGTGATGATTAATCTATACTAAGAAACTGAGCCAAATCCGCGGACAAACATGTAATGAAAGGACATTACTGCACTCGGCAACCCAATACTCACCTTTCCATGTTTCTTAGATCATGGCCACAGTTTAATGCGACACAAACTGTCACTGGGCTGAAGCTGCACCACCTTCTAAGTGGATAAGGTGAAACAAGCTCTAGAGACTATGCGCTCAAGGGAGCTCTGCAGGGGTTTTAAAGCCTTTGTGGGCACCCGGGCACAGAAAAATTGAGCTGCGAACCCGCGGTCAAGACCAAAAACGCACGCCTGACATCCTGTGCCCCCTTCTCGAATTGGGCTGCATTGTCCCAAGGTATGACTACAAAGTCATCTACTCCTCAGGAGGCTTGGCCTTGCACAGTACAGAATGCCAACGTCGCTCTCGAAGATTGCACCCGCAGAACCGTAGCCAGCCTGATTTAGGATTTAGGGCCTTGTTTCACACCCCACAATTTAGGTCTTTTATACCCCACCCTCACTCATGTCCCCTTCATTCACTTCTTATGGGTTTGCGGTCCAGGGGTCTAGTGGCAGACTTGGCTCCAGCCACTGTCTTGCAAGTCTATGGTCGCAGCAGACTTGTCGGTATTGGTCGAACTGGTCTGTGAGCCCAAGTGCTCGCTCAAGACCTGGCCAGTGACTTTGCTAATGTGTCCCAAGATAGGCAAAGCTGCGGGCACAAGCTTTATGCTGTGGCCTTGTGCGCCGCATAGATGCGAGCTTGCAGGTACGGAGAGCCAGGCGATTCCTGAACCAATATTGAGGAGTACATCCCAGATGGTGATTCGTCCTCGGAAGGGGCATTGAGCTTGTGCAGAGTCTGGAATTTGTCCTTGTGGTGCAAACGCAACACACAACTCCATGCAAGTGATGAAATACTTGCTCGTTGTGCCAAGTCATATCCTTTGTTTCATACCTTCAGACAAAATTCACCGAACAACAAAGCCAAAGAACGGCTGCGTGTGACATGCGCCTCCACCTGAGCGGCCGAAAATGAACCTTCTGCATCCAAAACCTGCGGCAAGGCTCGGCCCATACAGATTTCCTCGAACAGGCAGATCCAAGCTCCCAGTATCCCAGTCGCTTGGAAGAGAGTTCCGTCTAGGATTCTTTTGGATGCTAACCCAAACAAATGCCAGGCCTTCTTGGCTTCATCCAGTGACATCCGTCTCCTTGACATTTGCTTCGCAGCAGCAGCTGCTGGTCCTCTCCCGGCAGCCGCCTCCTGGCTCAGCCGGCGAGAAAACCCTGTGATCAAGCGGAACATTCGTGGCGATTTGGGTAGAATAATCTGATCTGCACAGCGATCCCAATATCAAACTGATGGCGTCACCAGAGGACCGGCAGTGCCGTAGCATTTCGTGAATCTGAACCAACTTGTGGGGTAAACGTGAAAGGCTACTGATGCTGTACATGATGGCACCTTGTAAGCTTCTAGCACCTTGGCCATGCTGGCAGTCTAAATCATCCGTGCGCAGTGCGCAATCTGCTGCACCAAGTTTTGCACTGCCCGGCCAATGGCGCCACCAGCCACCATGGTGATCTGGGCCTGTCGCTTAGAAGCACAGATTGATTGCAGGAATTCAAGCTTTGCACGCCAACAATGCTGCAAAGCGGCCATGATTCGCACGAATGGTCCAAAAGCCATGGGTGGCAGAACGCATGCACAGGGCCACCCTCAATGTCACTGCGCTTGACAGTGTGTCCTGTCGAGCTGTGAGGCAACCTAGCTAAGTGTCGTGGTGCGCAACTGCCACAACATGTTAACTCATGTTTTGAGTTGGTGTTTCAATGCAGTGAATGCACTTGAATAGACTTGTTGTCTCTGCTATGATTGTGTTAATACTTTTCGTGTTCCAAAACACATGCTCAGATCTACAAAACCTGCGATGCAGTGCAGACTCTGCCATTCCAAGCTTTGCTGGCCAATGCAAACAATTGTTCAATATGTTTCTCATTCGCTGCAAATGAGTCAAGAACATGTCCACACCAATCCCAGAATTAAGCCTTTCAACACGCGAATGTTCATGTATCAATTACCCCATGGCAGGGCCTGCCTCAGGATTTTGACAAACCTTCTCTGAAAAGTATTTTGGTGAATCATGATGCCTTTCAAGACAAACGACATGCTGAAATGTGTGTGTGGAGTACAAAGGGCACAATTTCAACACTGGCTTAACCACCTACAAGTCTTTCCAACACCCCAGGCAGGCCAAGCATCCCCAGCATCCCTAGCATCCCGTGCATTTCTGGAACGCCCACCCAGCCCCAGCATTCCCAACATCCTCGCATTACGTTTCCAATCGCCAAAACGATGGCAGGTGAATGCGCCCTTTACTTCTGGAAAAATTATCAACATGCTGCAAGCAGCCATAGGTAGCTTCAATGAACCTTTGTTCAGTCAGTTATCAGTCAAGCTTACACCATGATGATTTCGTATGCGTGAGTCGAGCAGATGATAACAAACCTCTGCCCGAAGATCAATGTTATGAAAATGGGTTGCCGTGACCTGTTCACGTCACAAGTGTCATCATATTGTTGCTTGCGTCATCATGATGCGATTGTTAGTGTTACCAGCCAGTTGCTTTCGCATAGTACTGGTTGCATGTTTCGCGGAAACAACCCCTGCCATCTCAATGCCCATTAGGACATGCTTGGCGGGCTGGTTGGCTGGGTGGTTGGCTGGGTGGTTGGCTCGCTGGCTGGTTGGTTTCCCAAAGCAACCTTCATGTGTGTCACGTTTGCACAACAATTTGTGGTTTCCGACTAGCTGAACAATCTGTTGTTGAGGCAGCCTGTGCCATGCATCCCTACGAAGGGCACTGCATATCAAGGGCAATTCTCTGGGTCAGCTCGCAAGCAGCAGGTTGCGGAACAACTTGAACACGAATGATCACGTCCACTCACAGAGTTTTCTTTGCCTGGCATCATAGGTTCTTTGCCTTTTGGTGATGACCCCTGCAGGATGCATGCACGTGTGTCCTAGCAATCATGCATCGCAAAGGGTTCTTCGAACACAGCCGCCGTTGAGAAAGTTAACGCTGGTTGACGGCTCAACTTTCCGCATGCTAGTACGGGAGGCAAGCATCAGCTTGCATTGGTTTGCAATGCGGCTTGTATGGATTCCGCTTTGAAAAGAGGAGCTGCATTCCCTGACGCCACGTGCCCAATTCGGGGGAAAAAAGTGCCGGTTCAGGCCGCGTGCATGTTTGCCTGTGGCTTTTGAGCAGGAGCACGTGGGCAAATGTGATATTCTCACCTCCTTGCGCAACTCTTGTGCTGGAGTTGTCGCGCTGTTGCAACGTGTTCGTGCTGGACTTGCCTTCAATTGGTTTGGAGCTTTGAACAAGGCGGTTCAAGGCTTGTCTTCCTGCCATTAACTCACAAGCGTAGCATTCCGAGCCATGAACATCCCCTGTCCTGCCAGCTTCGAGCCTGATGCAGGCCAGCGTCACTGCTGCACGCGTTGGCATCAACAGCCAACAATCCAGATGTCAAACTGCAACCTCTGCTTGCTGAAGGAGTCCTACGGGCTGAATTGCCTAGAAGCATGCAGTGGCCGCCGAACTCCTTAAGTGAATAGGCAATTGGAAAGCAGCAGAGGGAGAGCCAGACACGTCAGCTTTTCTTGACAACGAAATTGCCAGGTGGCTGGATCGTTGCTAAACGTCGTGCATGCGGATGGCAAAGAGCCACGCTTGGCTTTTAACAGTACAGTTGCAACTCTCAGCGCTTCTGTTCTGGGTTTGCCACAAGGCGTTAAGCGAGTGCGCTCCAACACGCTGCCGTAACCCTCCGACTGCGCCTTTCTGCAGCCCCAGTTTTGGATCCGTGGCGCGGACCCGTCCACTTCAAGCTTGACAAAATTTGCAACCAAAACACGGCCGCCTTGACCAAACCCGCACGCGTTACGCACACTGCGCTGCACGTCCGCGCAAAAACAACACGCTCTCTCAGCGGTCTTTAAATAACTCCTGCACCGTGGAGGCCCCTGCTGCAACGGCGACGTTTTTGCAGTTAGTTACAGACCCAAATCTTGCCCCGGCAAAACAGAGGTTGCCACAGAAGATTGAACGTTCTCCCTTCGCTAGAAATTGCGAGACCCACATGTGTGTTGGAACACGCGCCACCGCCCCCCCTCCCCCCACTTTCAATGTTGCATGGAAACACGCACGAAGGCAACTTTAACACTTGTCTGAAACACAACATTGAAATTTGGGGGAGCGGGGGAGGGGGGGCGTCAAGACTAGACTTGTCAGCCACCCTCGCCTGCCACAGCGCTTCAAGAGTCGCGCCAACTGTGCTTCGCGCGTGATTCTGATGCTTTCTCATCGTTATCTAGTCATCGAGTCGTTATTCTAATCGTTATTCTAGCCGTTATTCCACGAAACCACGTAAGATAGGTATTCATAAAGGTTCTGGATTGAAAAGAAAATGCCCTTTCTTATCTTTCAATATTCGGATTGCCGACTACCCGGACATGAAGGGCATCCCAGGGATGGCCCAGGCGCTGGCAGCCACTGCAGGTCTTCGACCCCACCAACTATGATGCGCCTGCGACCTTTCGCCTTCGCCCCTTAGCACTTACGCCGTGGTTCCGGCGCACACAGTTTTGGGACCCCCTACTGTAACGCTTAAGGCTTCCGAACTCACGACATAATGACTACGCCCGACTGCGGACGAACTGCGGCCCAGCTCCACATTCTCTCGCAAGTGCGGCAAGAGCTTGCTGCAGCCACAGCAGCAGCATCCGTGAATATCGCGCCGCGCAAAGGTTTGAAGGGCCTTGCCAGCGCACGGGAAATTGAACAACCACCGGCTGAACCTAGTTCGTGTCAAGTCAGGAGCGACCCTGCAGTACGCCAGCGTTGCAAACACCAAGTAAAAAAACCTAGAGCAGTTTGAGCCAACATGCAAATCTGCCGTCGTCCTCTGCTGCCAAGTACAGTCTCTTTCCGCAAATGACCACATGTTAAGGCATGTCGCACTGCTCCTAGCTTGAACCCAAACATGAAACCTCGAAAGAACAAAGCTCGTCCGAAGCGGCCGCAGTTCTTTTCACCGGGATTGCTGAAAGTTGCACTGCTTCCAGGGCACTAGTGCGCCTGGAGCAGGAGGCGCTGAAAGTTGCACTGCTTCCAGGGCACTAGTGCGCCTGGAGCAGGAGGCACATTGACGCACATTGACCCCCCGAAATGTGAAAAGGCAAGACAATGCGTGTCCTTGCGGGTAAATGCAGTGCTTGGAGGGGCGCGGCACGCGTGCCCACGCCCCAAGGTCCGGAGACCTACAGTCCGGAGACTTGAGGTCCGGAGACCGATTTTGGTCCGGAGACCTGGTCCGGAGACCACGGTGCTTGGAGGCGACCCACGAAAGTGCAGAGAAACTGCCGTCTATCCTGGCAAAGCCTGGCATAGGGCAATGCAGGGTGGGTGGGTGGGTTTCGAAATGAAACCGCAGGTTTGGGTCAAGGCTAGGAGCAAAACGGCCAACGCATAGTTCCCTAAACACAAGGGAAAAGAAACCCTAAGCGTTAAGGCATGTCGCACTGCTCCTAGCTTGAACCCAAACATGACACCTCGAAAGAACAAAGCTCGTCCGAAGCGGCCGCAGTTCTTTTCACCGGGATTGCTGAAAGTTGCACTGCTTCCAGGGCACTAGTGCGCCTGGCCTGGAGCAGGAGGCACATTGACCCCCCCTTCAGTGTTTCAGTCAACCCCGGTAAAAGCGAACCAGCTGGGCCGAAGGCCTCATCACCCGCCCTTCAGAGTGGGGTTGTACCTGGCAGGGCAGATGTTAGGGTCACCACGCACGCTGTGTTGTGAACAGCTGGGCATGCGGTGACTGCACTTTTTTCTGGTCAGAGCGGCTTGCGCAAGCGGCTGGCTGACATTGCCAGTTGTTCTGGCTGACAAGGCAACGGCAGAAAGGGTTCAGAAGGCCAAGTCGAACGCAGGCTAGTTTGGCTTTGCGACGCTGCACGCCGCTGCCAAATGTTCCGGACGCCAGGGCGCATGCATCGGACACAGTTGAATGCCTCGGCCCGACATCGCCAGGCTTGCCGGGCTGAAGCGCATGCGACTTTCAGGGCGATGGCTGAATCGGGCCAACCGACCTCTGCTGAGATCGTCTGCCCAATCATTGCACCTTCCTGGAACGTGCGTGGGCTGCGGCAGCACGTTATACCAGGTGCCCTTAAGCAGCTTGAGTCTCTCAACAATACTTGACAAGGGAACCTTGAGCGCAAGCACTCCTTTTCAGCACACGGGGTGGAGCATCAAGGTAAGGAAAGGTCCTTCTTAGAAAGGGGGGGACCCCAAAAGGGAGAAAAGGGCTCACACCCTGAAAGAAGGGGGTCCCCCAAGAAGGCCTCAGGGGGTGAGGGCAGGCAAGTACCCCCACCCGAACCCAATCTGAAAGGCAAGCCACAGGGTGTGGCTCGCGTAGCCAATAAGCTACTTGGTATAGTAGGCACAGCCACTCACTCGTCCAACCTGGGTGGGTGGGTGGGAAAAAATCTAAGGCCCTGAAATTGGAAGGAAAGGAAAGGTTTGAGCCTCAAGCTGCAACTCAACAGTTAAGGGCACCCGTATAACGCCGCGAGTGCAAGCACTAGCAATCCTTATACCAGGTGCCCTTAAGCAGCTTGAGTCTCTCAACAATACTTGACAAGGGAACCTTGAGCGC